CCCTCTGCTCTTCTTAATACCATCTTCCACGGTCTCCTCTATTGTTATTGTTGTATTGTTGTAATTATAATTGTGCCCTATCTTGTGAAATTTTCTTATTTACTGTTGTAGTCTTCTTATTTATTGTTATTGTCATCCTGTAAAGCGCTTTGAGAAGCCACCTTTAAAGGCGCTAAATAAAATAAAGTTTATTATTACTATTATTATAACACTGTTAAAGACAAATTCTAATAAAGTACTGCACTTCTTAATCATATTAGCACTGTAACCATTGAATAAGGACCAGCACGATTATCTTCTGCTTCTAATCACTTAAAAAAGTACTGTATTCATTTCTTAATTTATAAATGTATGTAGCTCTTTTTTCAAAAATGAGTAAATTAAATTATTTGAGATTTATAGATCATTTGGTACACCATACATATGAACTGTAACAAAACGTTATAGTACAATACCATGTAATTCACATAGAAAAGGGAAGTCTGATATTTTAGACATACAGTATACAAATGCACACATTCATTTGAACTAGTTATTCATGCATAGGAACCATACGTGTGGTTATGCAATGTAATTATATTTTTATTTGCTTAAGCAGAACCAGCCAATATAAATATTTTAATAACCTGTCTTATCAACTGTAAATCATATTCAAAATGTTTCCTATTGATAATATTGAGTGTGCTCTAAAAACCTATTTCACAGAAAGTTTTCTTCAAACTACAAATAAAAGCTTTAATCTGCAGCTGTTCTAACATGTTACATGTGTTTAACATGGAGATGTGTAGTGCAGATACTTTATTTCAAATTAAGATGATTAATTAAATTAACTGGATCCTGTGCTATATATAAAATAACTAATGTCTGTACTCAATGTACAGAAAGAGCAAAAATATTAACTTATTTCCTTTTTAATTAGATTTTATACAATGTCAAAATTAAGAGTACAATGGTTCTGACTTATATAAATGAACATGACTACATACTGTTATGTTTCTAAAAATAAATACTAAACTAGTCACAGAATCAAAAACAAACTCACATATGTGTGTGCAGATGAACTATACTAAAATATACCTTCATAGAGTAAGTTTCCAAAATTCCAAGATTTCCATTGAAAAATGTGCTTGTACTTAACATAACTTAACATAAATTCTGCATTTTTTCAGTTGAGTTGGACTGTGCAATCTCATTAGATTTTGGATCTTTCTGATCTATTAAAGCAAAAAAATTGAGGAAACATGGCTCTGGGAAGACTAGAAATATAGGGAGAGTCAAAGACAATTGACGGAGGTAATTTAGCACTAAAGACAATCGTGTTAACAATCTACTGTATGCAGAGGCAAGAATCACCTGTTAGCAGCAACAACTGGACAATAAAAAAACGGATAAATAATAGATCAGCAAAAACAAAATCACAGAGTGCATAACAGGACAAATCCATCTGTTCCCCAGCTGCATGAGAAGGAAGTCCAATTTTTTCAACTTCTGACAGAGTCAGAAACATAGTACTACTCACCTCTGAAATGTGGGAATTCCCATTGTCTTTCCACACTCAAGCTGCACAATGGTTTTAGCTTGAATTCCATTTTCACATACCTCATCACCTCTAGAGTAGTTGATATAGATCTTCTCATCTTTGGAAAAAATAGAGGTACTTGACTATTAATCTGGATTGTAGCCAAGCACTGCAGGCTATTACGTCTTTGATATTCATTAGGAAACACAGGTTATGCAAATTCTACTTACCCTTAACACTTATCTGCTGGGTGTAGAACAGGCCCAGTGTCTGTGTTTTTTTTGTTTTGGTCTGCCGACAGACAGCAGCAGTTACAGGGCAGTCTGTAAGACCTCCGTGGATTTCCTGGCAAAAATTGATGTAGTACCTAGGAATATAAGAATAAACTGCTATTCTAGTAACTCAAGCAAGAAATATACTGTGTGAGATGTGTCTGCCACTTCTACAGCAAAGAAATAAAAAAATGTATAAATGTATGAATTGTTGAAGAATCTCAGGCTTTGTTATGCCAAAGTTAACTGTTGCTGTAACATACATACATACTGTATATATAAACATGCATAATCCTTTTTAACTGAACCTGAAAGATCTCAATACAAACCCTCACCCCATCACTATGAATAACTTACTCATTTCCACTGATAATTCTGATGTGGTTCAAATGTACCAGAGCACCTGGTTCTTATCAGCAGCATTCATTTACATGCCACTCAAGCCAGACCAGCTGAGTCATAGCAAGGACTTTGCATTTGCAGTTAAGTGCAATTTGGATTATCACATGATTACAGTACATAATGTGTCATACTGTTACATTTTCACTGGTTTTACACACATGTTCTCACAAGAAGCTGTAAAACACTACTTTATCAACAAAATGCATTAATACTAAATGTTTAAAATGTTTAATCTTTTATTTTGTGTGGCCCCACATTTTTGTGTTGACTCTGCAAGCATTTTTTCTGCAAGAATCACATACATTAGCAACACTTAACTTTTGATCAATACAACTGTAATGAGAGGAACATTTGATCCAGACCAGTATCATTAATACTGTGATTTTAAGGACTAAATGCTATTAATGAATTCTACGTGATTTAGACCTGGGATTCAACAGAGTATGTGTTCTGCTGACACTTTCTTGAAAAATTATATTATCAACATAACCCTCCATCTTGTTTGCAAACAAATTCCATCTAATAATTCTGCTTCATGTTTTTTCATTGATTTAATTAAACTCTAACAATAACATTTACAGTAGATCAGCTCAGGTCAGTGGTGAGAACAGCATGTCAACTTTTAATCTTTGCTTTGCAAAACAAATCCTCCAGACACAGGTAGGCTACATAAGATACTGCATGACAATGACACTGATACTGATCCTTTAGTAATTGAATTACTACTTTTACAGTGTCTGTTAAAGAAGATCACTGTAGTTCTTATTACAAAGACAGAATGAAAGCCACACGCTAGGCCATATAAAAGTCATGTGTGACACACAACATACAGATACAGTACACACATACCATACAGTACAAACAGTGTTTACGTTAATAAGAGGAATAAATAAGAAGACCCTCATATCATTTCTGAGTGAAATCAAGGCGTACTCACGAGTCACTGCCATGGCTGAACTTCCATGGTGCTGTGAGCGAGGACAGAGCATGGAGGTCATAGGTTTTATGATTACTGACCACCTTGCACTGCATCTTCTTTGGTGGGCATGCCACACTGGTCTTCCACTCGAAGGTGGTGGCACAGCCTAATGTTTCACTCAGCAGCTGAGGTGACCCGGGGTCCGCAGACCTATCACACTTGAAGATAATGGTGGAACTCATCTTTCCTGTTGCTGGACAACACAGAACACATACAGTATACTGTACGTTAACTCAGAATTTTTAGTTAACAAGTAAGTTTTAGTTACATCTCTCTTGCTCTGTAATTCTAAGTAAATCACTGACCGGACCTGGTAAATCCTTCCGAGCTATTCAGCATTATCTTTTAACCACTTTGTCTAGGAACTTACTCAGGGAAATTAGATGTTATTTAGAAACCATCGATTCAAGTCTTCCATTAATCACTCAAGACAGGGACTGGAGAATTTCCGATCCAGTACTCATCCATCCAGAAGAAAGGTAACAACACTGAACCAAGTAATTACAGACTAATATGTCTAACTTCTACTGCATGTAAAGTTATGTAAACAATTATTAGAAGTGAACTACAGGATCACCTACAGAGAAATAATGTTCTACTGTATGAAATAGTCAACAAGGATTTAGAAAAGGAAGATCTTGCATAACCAACTTGTTAGAGCTCTTTGAACAATCAACAGTAATTGTGACACACAGGGTATACTTTACGATGTATTTTCAGAACACTTTTAAAAAAGTTCCTAATAAAACAGTAATATTCTTGTGCAGGCAATAGAATGCATTCAACGGAATACAAATGTTAGGATTGAATTAGTTAATAAAGAGAAAAAAGCAAGTAAAGATAAGGAAATAATACTCAAATTGCTGAGATGTAATAGCAGACTATCACATAGATCTGTACTAGGACCATCGTCTTCTAAATTCATATAAATTATCTAGATTCTGGTATGCTTAGTAACCTAATCAGTTTTGCAGATTATAGCAAATTAAGTATATTAACGAACACAGTAAAAGTGCATAAAATTCATGAGTGGGTGAACACCTGAAAGATGATATTTAATGTGGGAAAGTACAGTGTTTTGAAGGCTTGTGGCATAAAGTAGTTCAGGTGGATAGCTGCGTCAGCATGAGTAGGCTGCAAAGGAACAAGTAATAGGTTTATTCCATGCTGAAAAAAAGGAAGAAAGAAAACAACGTTTCGGCCGTAGAGCCTTCTTCAGGTGTGAGAAAGACAAGGCAGTAGGCAAAGGTAATGTAGCGGGAGATCAAAGGCTGGGAGGGAGAAATATATATATATGGCATAAATATGTATACTGTATATGTAAATAAGTATATATATATAGTGGGTATAGAAAGTTACCGCCCCCTTTCACAATGTTCACCTTTTGTTGCCCAAAAAGATAACAAATAAAATTAGACTTTTTCCAGTCTTATTTACAAATTGTACCTTGTAACATCCAAGTGAAAAATGAAAGCAAAATTTATTTTTAAAAATAAAAATAAAAAAGTAGAATAACTGGGTTGGATAAGAGAACACCCCCCTGAGTTAATACTTGGTGGAAGCACCTTTTGCTTGAATTACAGCCTTGAGTCTGTTTGGATACATCTCTACCAACTTTGCACACATAGAGGGAGGAATACTTGCCTATTTCTCCTTACAGAATAGTTTGAGCTCAGTCAAAATGCACGGTGACCGTTGATGCACTGCCCTCTTCAAGTCATTCCAAAAATGTTCAATGGGATTTAGGTCGGGGCTCTGATTAGGCCACTCAAGGACAAGAACCTTACTGTCCTTCAGCCACTGTACGGTTGCTTTGGGGGTGTGCTTTGGGTCATTGTCATGTTGAAAGGTGAACAGTCTTCCCACTTTCAACTTTCTGGCTGAGGGCTGCAGGCTTTCTTCAAGACTTTGCCTGTATTTTGCACCATTTATCTTCCTTTCTATCCCAACATGTGCCCCAGTCCCAGCTGAAGAGAAACACCCCCACAATAGGATTCTGCCACCACCGTGCTTTACTGTAGGAATGGTGTCCTTTGGGTGGTAAGATGTATTGGGCTTTGCATTGCGGCCAAAAAGTTGTATTTTGGTCTCACCTGACCACAGCACCTTTTACCGCTTGGCCACGGAATCCTTAAGGTGTTTTTAGCAAACATATAAGAGACTACAGACTACAGACGACACCACTCTTATAGGTTTCATCATAAGCGGCGGTGAGAGCTGGTACAAAAAGGAAGTGGATTGTCTCACAATGTGGTGTATGACTAACAATTTGGATCTCAACACCACTAAAACCAAAACTGTAGAAACGATAACTGACAGTACCCGTTAATTAAGGACACTGCTGTCAATGTGGTGGAATCCTGCAACACTCTCCGCTGGTATGAAAACATAATTTCCATTATAAAGAAAGCACAGCAACGCATGTACTTTTTGAGACATCTCAAGAAGCTTGACATTGCACAGCCTATTCTCTTACAGTTCTACAGAGCCATTACTGAAAGTGTGATTACTTCCTCTATTATTGTCTGGTTTGGCTACTGCACATTCCAGAAACCAATTGCAGCGTATTACCAAGTGTGCTGAGAAAGTAATAATAATAATAATAATAATAATAATAATAATAATAGCTTACACTTATATAGCGCTTTTCCGGACACTCCACTCAAAGCGCTTTACAGGTAATGGGGACTCCCCTCCACCACCACCAATGTATATATGTAAGTGTTTGGCTGTAACCTTCCATCTCTCGCTGTGCTTTACAAATCTAGAGCAGTGAATCGGGCCACCAAGATTGCTGCAGATCCCTCCCACCCAGGACAATTATTTCTAAAGCCTCCAGAAAACGCTTCAAGGCAATCAATTCCAAAACAGACACTTGAACAGTTTCTTTCCCAATGTTTTCCCAATGCTATATTTCTGCTTATCTAGTCTCCTTTCCCAAACAACTCCCCATTTCAGCTGAAAAACTTTGAATTAGTATTAATGCCAACTTGGTTCATTTTTTCACTTAAGAACTGGTGCGCTTTCCCATTTTCCCCACATGTTTACATAGTTGCATATTACTATACCTGTGTCTTATATACACTGTAATGTCTACATTTTCTACACATCTATACTGTACTGTGAGCACATATTGTTTTTGTTTCTCCACATCTTTTGTATATAGTCCAATGTAATTATGTCAGTAATGTTAATGCTCCTTTTGCACCTGTGTGTTTTTTTGTGCTGAGCAGGTTCCAAATGTAGCAAGGAAAATTCCTGTACACGACACATACTGTAGAGTAAAAGTGATTCCGATTATTATTTGCCAGATTTGTGGAGTGCTTGTGATATTGTTGTCACATGCACACAATGATCAGTCTTTAAGGCCATAAAGGCCTGTAGCTCATTAAAAGTTGCCATCAGTCTCTTGGTAGCCTCTCTGATAAGTCTCCTTCTTGCTCGGTCATCCAGTTTGGAGGGACGGCCTGATCTAGGCAAGGTCTGGTGCCAAACGCCTTCCACTTCTTAACGATGGTCTTGACTATTGTCCATGGGATACTTAACGCCTTTGAAATCTTTTTATACCCAATCTCCTGACTTGTGCCTTTCCACAACTTTATCTCGAAGTTCTTTTGAAAGCACTTTTCGGCCCATAGTGGATTCTTTGCTTTGAAATGCACTTCCAAGCAGTGGAATCCTCTAGAAACAGCTGCTTTTATTCTGAACTAATCAAAATCACCACAACTGATTGGGATCCAATTAGTTTGTTGGTGGATCTGTAAGGTAACTGATTATACTGTACTTGAGCAAGTTTACAAATGCAATTGTAAGGGTGTTGTTCACTTATCCAAATAAAGCATTTTACTGTAACATTAATTTTCAGAATGTTTTTTAATTTGATTTTCCTTGGCTAATATGGGTTACTGTGAGTAAATAAAAATGGAGCAAGCCTAATTTAATTTGTATTTATTTTCAGAGTGTCATATAACAAAAGGTACACATTTTGAAAGAGGGTGTTGACTTTCTTTACCCACTATATAATATGTCTTTTAAGGTGTTTATGATGACATATCAAACATTTTTAAATGTGGGAAAAAATTTAAAAGAAAAACACCTAAGTGCAGAATTAATACCTAAGTGCAGAATTTAAATCAAGGAATGTTATGTTAAAAATGTATAACATACTAATAAGGCCCCATTTAGAATGTGTGCAATTTTTCTCATCACATTTTATAGAATATATATTTCAGTTCAACCGCAGAAAAGAGCAACCATATACTGTATATAACGAGGGAATGTCCTACACTGACAAGCAATGTCTTGACTTCTTTCAAGAAACAGCTGGATGAGATCCTAAAATCAATTAGCTACTAACTGCTAAATGAACATAATGTCCGCTTCTACCTTGTAACATTTCTTATGTTAAACAACATGCACTGTTACTACAGATGCAGCCATTCAAAGTGTGCGGTACAGACACGTACCGGAGGTAATTGGCTACGGCCTCGCGCGATGACGCAAAATACCGCGGTACGTGATTGGTTGACCGACAGGGGCACTCGTGGTCCGTTGCTCGGTCGTAGAAAGACTTACAGTACCCGTTTTAGTATTGAATATTTATATGGAATTTTACCACTGAAGGGAAATCTTAGTAGCTGAGCATGAAAAGAATAGGTGCATACTGTAACGCGTGTGAAGGCCATAAACGATATTAATTTTGGAACATAAACATACAATATATGGCTGGTCTCGGTACTTTAAATAAAAAATACACACCAGTATTCCATTTCTCCCTAAACATTTTAAGCATTGAAGTCTTTAACTAACGTGATACCGGAGTCAACAAGCATACTTTTA